CAAATTTCCGAACTTACATTGCTTCACCAGCCGGCAGCAAGATTCGTTCATAAAATGGAATGCAGTACCACCGAAGCGCTGCACTATCATAGGAACTGACCGGGTGGACGATGATATGGAAGCCGCATTAAATCTAGGGCCATCATTCGCGGTATGCGAGAAAGCCGTTATCCGATAAATAAACATTGGTTGCAGTCAGTCTGGGATTTAATAAATTCGCATGTAAATTAAGGTGGCGGGAAAACAACGGTCCCCACAGTTTTAGATCAAACATCCACTATTCTAGCAGCCGCACCGTTCCCAAGAAGTAAATGTGCTGTTCCTAAACCAATCGGAACGCTTAACATTGCGTGGACCGACGCTACAGCATCTAAACTTAAAGATGCCTACGCAACAGCGAGGCAAACAAAGTTTGGGTGTAACCTAACAGAACAAGAAAGAAGAGGACTTCACAAGCTTCTGGCAATGAAGGGAGAGCTAAGGTATAGTGTTGGAGACAAAAGCGGGGATTTTGTCGTTATGACCAAGGAGATGGACAAGGCAATCACCAACCGTAGCTTAGAGGATCGCGGCACCTATAGTGAATCTTCTGTTCAAGCGTTTAAACAGGTAGCCAAGAAGCTTGAAAACACTATTAAAGAAGTTCTAGGAAAAAAGTTAGACCAGGAGGCAGTAAGAAGGTTTATATGCAGTGCGCGTGCACCTTTGCGACCCACCGTTCTAACATCGCTGGTCAAAACACACAAATTGTGATGTTAATCCAAATAATGCTACAACCGATACGCGGACATCAAAATTCGCCCCATCATCTCCTGCTGTGGGGGACCAGCAGATAAAATTAGCTGGTTATTGGTCAAGTTCTTTTCCCCACTCTTACGCCACATCAGTTCACATTTAACAAACACCAGGGACTTCATTACAAGCCTCGACCAATGTCACATACCAATGGATGCATGTTATGCTAGCTTTGATGCCGTTTCGCTTTATACCAACGTGAACACTCGGGATGCTAATCCACGAGCTCTGCTGCAGCTGTGGAGGCAACGACGAGAAGAAACGTACACCTTTGGGCTCTGGGGCGAAAACGACCTCAGGGATTTACTCAGGGCAACTCTGGACAGCAACATATTCCAGTTCGACGGGAGATTCTATATTCAACATCGAGGTTTAGCCATGGGATCCACGCGAGAGATAGCTCCACCTGCCTGCCAATTGGTGGTACCTAGACTCCATAGAGCGAAGGTCGTTGACTGCGGGCATAATTTTTTATAAACGATATATCGATGACGTATTCATAATTGGCTCTTCTCCAGCCGAATTAGAAGGGACACTTCTCAATCTGAATTCGCAGGATCCCAGCATCAGGTTCACGGTGGAAAACCCCCACAATGATGGATTTGTCCCATTCTTGAACAAAAAAGTTCGGATCAGACACGGTAACACGGAGTTGTCCTGGTATAAGAAGCCAGCATCAAAGAATGTGTTGCCTGAGCGCCGCAGCGCTAGAAGTGGCCACCCCCTATATATGAAGGCTAATGTTGTCCGGAATTTGGTCATCACAAAGGAAAAGATCTGCACTCAACAGTCATCAGAAGTAGATTCGATGGTGGACAGAATTCTAAAGGAGAATGGTTATACAAGCACTCGCACCCACACATGGAAACCACATTCGACACCGGACGGAATTCCCTTGGTGTTACCTTACCTAAATGAAAACACAGCCTTAAAAGTAAATAATATAGTGAAGTGCTCACCACTTCCGACTACCAGTGTTACATATTCCGTCGCACACCCAAATTTAAAAACGAGTCTTCTTTACCTTTTCAAGGCCTTATGAAAATAGATGTGGGAGGGCAGGTTGCAGTTACTGCAACAACTCCAAAATTTGCCAGCTCAGGGGAACAGTTTATCTGGTGGAGTGTCAAGGATGCGGACAAAAATATGTGGGAGAAACTGGGAGGCCCCTCTACAAAAGGATCGACGAACACCGGAGAGCGCTGGGGAATCCACCTTCCTACCCCAATAGCAGTTTCTCCAGGCATCGCACACATGAACACGCTCACCAAGAACCCCCTCATTAACCATCACAGTGCTACACCGCTCAGTGGAGAACACAATGGAAAGGAAAATATTGGAGGCTCTGGAAATAAAACGGCTCTCACCAGAAATAAATAACAGGGAGGAGCTACGTGACATCATGCAAGTGATAATGTGATCGCGCCACAAGTATCCCACTATTTAAGGGCATGGTTGGGGTGGGTTGGTCATTTATTTCGGGACAACTGTGAAGTGGCTTGTGGGGAGGTGGGTCACGGTGCGGGTTGCAAACTTTGTAGAAGTATAACCAACAAAAACAAGCTAAAATAATTTTTCAGGCCTGACGGAAGGTGCTAGCGGCACCGGAAATATCGCAAAGTTAAGCATAAATTAATAATTAATTTTTGAGATCTTTCCACTGTGCTTTTGGAGTCCTTATTGGAGATAAACGTTTTGGAGTTTTCACATTGTGTGTTAGCACATTCATGATGCCGACAGCGTTAGAACGGTGTATTTGGGGAAACGGTGATGGCTCAACGATGCCGGTTCGTATTCATTAGTTTCTCAACTTTGTTACTTTTTTATCATATCTTTGCTTATCATATCATGTCTTATCTTTCCCATTATAATTGCGCTCTCTTCTGAGCACCAAGCAGCGCCTTTCCTGCTTGTGTGAGTCCCTACCTTCTTAGCAAACGCTCAAAACTGTCCTGATGGGAGGGCAGGGGCAGAGCAGTGAAGAGGAGCAGCCTATTGTGAATTGCGCGCCCAGCTACAGCTGGTTTGCACCTGAACAGTCCGATGCCGTTCGACGTAGCGTTTGTGTTTCTTGTTGTCCGTTTGGCCTGTAGCCCGAGTGCAGCTTTCCAAGAACTGTTCTCTAAGTCGCGCTGTGGATACGTTGGGTGCGGCTTGCTCCAGCGTATGAGAGTGTTAACCGTGCAAAAAGGCCGTTCTCTGTCGTCTTCTTGTTGTAGCGACGTGCGTTGACAAAAAGTGCTGGCAGAAAAACGAGTAAGTACGAACGAGATATGACACCAGTCGTATCACTTGATCGCTTTGACAACTGGTGGAGAACGGATTTGGCACCGCGCCAAACTCATCCCGCCTGACACGCCCAACCGTCCGCAGCGAACTACCTATATTGTGATCGGCTAGGTGGGCGCCAAATTCTATCTAACTCCTGTTTACTTGGAATCTGATAACCAGGCTCCGCTTGAGGCGATCTTCCTGGCGCGTATGAAGTGGTGTTGCCCCAGAGTCCCCAATCAGGCCAGTTCTCCTTTCCGCGTGCATAAAATGGGTATTGTTTCAGAGTTGTTTCCGCAATTGAGGTCCAGTCGGATCGTCCTAATTGATTGCGGACTATTGATCAGAAATTTATTTTCGAAAATTACCGCATTTTACCGTTTCGTTCTCTGTATATATCTCCCTAAAAGACAGTCGTCAAAATTTTCTATCGGCCAGGGCACAGCATTGGTTGTGGATTCCTATGGGGGAGGGGAGGGTCGTATTTGGCCGCCAAAAGGGGGGGGGGTCGTACCAGCCCCTGAAAAAAAGGGGGGGGTCGTAAAAGCTCGACCAAAATCCCCATCGAATGCTGTGCCCTGCTTGCCGCGCTAATCCTTCCTTATGAGGAATCGTAGGATGAACTGTCACCGACGGGCTAGCACTTGGTACACAACATACTCCCTGCGTGTGTCTCTCCCTCACTTCATCTGGCGACCAGTTCTCAGTTTCACTCATACTGCCCATTACAAGGGGTATTCCCGATGCGTTTTGGGAATATTTATCGCATCTGGCACCCAGTCATGTTCGGTCGAACGCCACGCCCTGTTGTGGGCGTGGCTTTCGCCGAAATGCCGAAAGCTCGGTTGCCTTGTGCGTGTTCTGCGAATGTTGGCCCATGCTACATGCATCCCGCGCATAATCAGTTCCTTCCCTTCCCTAAAAGCGAGTTCCTTCACGTACCCTCCGATTTTTGACACAACAGGCATAACAGACACACAGACAACTTCTAGTTGTATAAATAGAGAATATAGGGAAAAACTGAAGAAGGCTGACCTAATAACCTTGCTGAGCATTCAGGATTCCTGAAACTTGTAGTTTAGTGAACTCTCTTGTGTATTTTTGTTACCGAATTTTTTTTCTAGTATCGTATTGTTGCTCGTTCTATGACTCCGAGGCTTATCCCTTTGCATTGTTAGCGCACCTATGCGTGCATGATAAATAAATAAATAAATATCTTTGCAGGTGTTCGACACGCCTTTGGGAAAGATTGGCGGAGCAATCTGTTGGGAGAACTACATGCCTATGTACCGTGTGACTCTCTAATAACAAAAGGTGGCATTATTGGAGTTGGCTTATCGCCAAGAGATGGTTTCGTAAGAGAGATTTCGCAGTCCAGTGAACCGGTAAACGGAATTCCGGCCGTTGTAGGCAGGGCGCGTCCTGCTGTTGGAAACTTTTTTTGCGAAGCACGTCCCCCTCCTCGCAAAACTTCTCCTTCTGGTAATCTGGTGCGTCCTCCCTCCCTCCCACATTACTCATAATACCCTACAATCTTCCTGAGCTTTTTCCAGCTTCGTACCACACTTCTCCAGAGTTTTGCTGAGAAGTCTCTATTCTCCCCCCAAAAAAGACAGGCCGTAGGGGGGGGTAGTGGTGGCACATGGCAAGTGAACTGGGAAAGAACTGAGGAAACTCAATGATTAATCCAAATCACTCGTTGGATATCCGCTAAGACGTAGCTCGTGTAAATAATTGTATTGGAGCACTCCCGTCTCCACTAAACCGCCTCGCACTGAATTCCAATAATCGCCTTCCTCCTTCTGGGTTTTTATTCTAGTCAATCTTAAGGCGGTTTATGTGAGCAAGTTTACGCTAAAACTATACGAATAATTTAAGGCATAGAGTTGTACCTGGCTTGCACTGTAGATGATCGTGAGACATGGCTGTCAACTATGAGAACGATAGCGCTCGAAGGAAGGTGAGTCAGTAATTCAGTAGTTTGAGCGAGAGTTTAGTGGTTAATGTATTTCCATGCCTTTCTTGCCCCGAGGCGAAGGTGTGTAGAGAAGAAAATGGCACGCTTAACCACCGCGCGGTCCTGGGGTTTGAAATTCCGAATTCGGCTCCTACCAGGGCAAGCCCAATCGCGTTGTGATCATTTTCGCTGAACAATACGATCAGTTCCCAATTCCATGCACTCAATACGGAACCTCTCTGCCGCATGTACCCGACCCAGCTTTTCCTAGATTTTCCGCAAACTTCTTTCCACTTTATCAGAAATTCCAGTTTTTTTCAGCCACGAATTTTCCAAATACGACTCCCCCCTCCCTCGCGGTCAAATACCACCCCCCCTTGTGATCATCACAAGCTGGCGTGCCCTGCTCCCACCCAAGGCAACCTGCATTCTGCTGGCCACCGCAAGTCATGGTATAAGGCCCCATTCCATTCAATTGGTCGCCTCCGATATTTAGCCTTCGCGTATTGTCGAACTCCTCCCCTTTCAGATGCTTTGTCATCTCATCTGCTCAATTCATGACATCGTCCGCCTACCCAGAAGGGCATCCGATGCGCATAAAACATGGAGATGACAAGGTGAGAGAGACTTTCTTGTGTAGCTTCACATGCTTTCACTTTATGGATTTTCTTTCAAGGTTCTCATTCGAGGCGGTTCCTGTGCCATAGACCCTCTCGGAAGCGAAATTCCTTGTTGAGCTCCAAAATTTCACCAAAGAACTCATTCAGTAAGTGTAGAGATGTGTAAAAAAAAAAAAAGAATTGAGCAGGTTTTTCACACACTTCCAGAAAAATATTTCCAGCTATGTGGACGTAGACCTATCTCGAATCGCCTGTGGTAAAATGGACCTGGATACTGTAGGTCATTATAGCCGTCCAGAGGTGTTCCAGCTAATCGTCAACGAGAAACCCTGCGACGCTGTAGTGAGGCGTTAAGCTGCAAGTGAGTGACATAAAAATCTTGTACAGATAGAATTGTTTTTTCACTTTCCACCAAACGAGGTTATTAGGACCCGCCAAAGGAGGTCGTTAAGGGGAACCGTTTAAACGATCAGAGATTTTGGCCTCGCTCATCGCTCCTTGAGATGGCTCTGAAAAGGCTAATTCCCTGAGCGTGCTCTGATTTTGCCATGCTAACTCGTCGAGCGGCTCTCCATGGTACGGAGAGTGGTCAACGAGCTTTCTATATTGGGCCATCTCCTCCGTCGAAAGCGATGGGAACGAAGGCTGGAAGGTAGTGAATACCGCGGACGCCGACGCCCATAGTACATAGTCCGCTCGTCGGCATGGCCTGCATGGCCTCGCGCCTTGCATACTGTGCAAACTTTTGCCCTCCGCTCTCTCTATTATTTTGTACACTGATGTTGTATTAAGTAAGGGTTTCACTGCGGACCTTGTTGCGAATGCAAGTGCTGGCTTGTAGAGAACCTACGCGGACAGGAGGAAGTGGAGACGGCTCTTATCTTGCCAGCTCCGTTCTGTAGCAATGTGAGTGGCACGCTGTGCAGCTGCGGACCTATCTGCTTTGCCAGCATTCTCCACAGGTGAGGGAACAACTTTGTTTCTGTGTAACTGCCGCCACAATAGACGTGCCTCAAAATAGACATAGACGTTCTATTTTGTGTAGGTCACAGGGATCACGAGCTGACTAGGGTATCCATTGTCAGTCATGTGAAAGTGCCAGGGCGCAGGATTCAACAAATGATGTTAATGTGGCGCTCCACCCTAAGACGCGTGGTCCTCCGCCTTTCTTTCCAGTCGCTGTGTGGTAGTCCTTTGGCCGCGTCGATGCTTCGGCGCCTTTTAGGTTAATCAGGGAGACAGACATTCCAGCCGTCATTTTACATTCATAAATCTGAGATGTAAAGTGAGCTATCTGCTGACGGGAATTCGGCTACACGGACAACTCGCGGGCGAGGCTTGGGCGAACTCGGCAACGCTCAAACACAGCAGAAATTTTTTTGTCTAGCAGATTCTGCGATGGGTTTCTGTGCTGCTTTTTTTAGCGGCATGCGTCCATAGCACCTACTGCTCTCATGTCAGAAATCATTACGCTCATCTTGCCAATCGTTCATTGCGCCCTAGAGTAAACTTTCCATGCTCAGACATGGTGCAATTTGCTTTGATACTAGTGAAAAGTGAGGCCAGAAACATGAAAGTTGAAGAGAAAAGGCGAAAACCAGCCCGAAATTCATTCGCGGGAACTCCCAGCCGAACGAGAGCGCGTTTGTACGTGGGCATAACGCGAACTAGAGGGCGTGGTCGGAACGAGTTCCGGCTTCTCTTGTCGTTTCCTCCCCTATCACCTCACTATCACCTTTTTCGAAATGAGAGAGCTAGTAGGGAAGGTGCATCACCAAGAAGGCCTCATAAATGAAAGTTGCGTACTGTCTGGCCAGCGGGTTAAGGCTTTGACGCGAGCAAGTTGCGCTTTCCTCTCCGCTTTCCTCTTTTTTTGTATTTTTAAGCTGCCAAGGCAGTGTAATCTTCCGTGCTTGTTGACAGCACTGCCTTATTTAAAGAGAAAGCGTCTGAACACAAAAATGAAAAGCGGAGCGTGCCTTCAAGACTAATATCATTTGAAATGAATTTTAGAGTAATCATTTGAAAACAACTAGGCCCTTACTCTTTCTTTTCCATCACCAAATTTCATTCCAGTCCTCCTTGTACTGTGTTGGCGGAACTTTATTTGCAGATAATAGCGAAAATATTCGACACCAAGCTTAACAGATACAAATATTGATTGCCAGAAATACAAATATCGATCGTGACTAACTGTACAATTCTATCGATTTCGCGCGAATCGATAGACGTTTGAAACGGTGGTGGTGAGAAGGTGCGGATAAGTGCTTGTATGGCTAGTGCTGAAGGCCAAAATAGCTCACTGTGGTGTGAGTTGTTCATATGACTTTTCACAAAGTCTTCAACCAGTTACTGTGAAGGCGAGAATTCATTGTAAGTACTGAGAAATAAAGCAAGTTTTTCTAGAAGGGCAGTAATTTTGCACAACGACATTGTTAGATGATTAGTGAACACCGGGTTCTGCTCAAAATACCGAAAAGCGTGGCGAAATAGCTCTCAGTGTGAGGAAGGAGGGACAGAGGTCGATGAAGAGAAGCTGATCAGAAAGTAGTAGCGTGACCATGAGGCGGTTGACGGTGTGTAGTTGTGTGGACGATAGCTGTTGAAGTGGCGAAGACTGCTGTTACCGTAGTATGACCAATATGAAGGAGCGGAACTGAAAAATCAACCAATTCATAAATCTAACTAGTTTATCAATGAAAGTAAAGGATAGGAAGAATGTCTGGAAGAATGAAGCTCATCTTGAAGTTCAATAGGTTGGCTAGTTTTCGAAAGGAGTTGAGATCACGTTCCACGACGTTCGCATAGGCGGAGACTTGCATCAGTGTGCCTTTCTCATTAATGTGAACCCTTCTAAGAAAATGAGGAGGAAAGTTGCGGCTGTAAGGAAGGCACGCACAACATCTGTGAGTCTCCGCCCATGTGACCATGGTGCAATGTCATTTCAATGAATTAAACCGTTTTCAATCTTTTTTTTCTCATTTTCAAGCTCTATTAAAGTGGTCTGTGATCATAAAAGCGTAGAAGATGATTGAGGATGTTACACTTATATCATCTCATTTACTCGGGGCGATGTCAAGAAACGTGGAAAGAGCTCACTCGCGTGTTTGCTACCTTTGGTTGTTTTCTTCCCGACACAATCACTATTCGTAGAACGCGCAGCGAGGGGGTGAGCTCATTCTGCGCCTCCTGACACAGTCCCGACTAATTGCGACGATACCAGCTATATGTACAGTCGTTATCCTCGAAAACGATAGGGCGCAGGACGGCGGGTGGCCCTAGCGTAGTCAGAGCAGATTTTCCGTCAATTGTGACGTCTTGAGATGATGTCATTGCTAGAACTAGGTCGCCCTGGCTGCACTCCCAATCACTCCCATCAGATGCCCAATGTTTTGCATGTAGCACCACTGTTTCTGTCTGCATGGCACTTGAACAGTCAGCGTACTTCCCCTCTTCCACAACTATGTTAACTTTTCTGTAAGTTTCCACTGAAATATGGTATCATTCAGAAACTTCGTTGAGCTCGTGACGGTTAGAAGCCTTACGACGGTTTGAGGGGAGAGGGGTTTGTAAACGGAAGTGTTTGTGCTAATTGAAATGACCATGAAGAAAAAAGCAGAAGAAACCGTCAGAAACGCTTCAGTTGGGCTGTCCTACTCCTAAGCGAGAGGCACAGAATTGATAGGGGATTTCTGGCGAGAGACTAGAAAAGAGCAGCGAGAGAGCATGCAAACGAGCAAGACCACAGGTAGGACAGTTACAAACAGGGTGGGAGTCTCCTTAGCAGCCTTGCGCCTTGATGCTTCTACTTCCAACTCTTTGGCAAAATGCTGTCTATTGCGGTCCACACCATATTTACCCAAAAGGAGCTTCAATTTTCATGAGTTATCGCGAAATGTGCCTTTAAAAAGATCTCGGAAGCATGGACTACTCTATCCCGACCAAAAATTACACAAGGAGCCTACCTATTGTTGATGTAAGGATGAATCGGCTTCCTACCATATTTTCTACCACTAGTGATCGGTTAGTGAACAATTTAGAAAGAGAATAAGCTGTGGTAAAAAAGCGTGCTATTGGACTCATCCTAAGCCACTTGACACCGCCCTGACTGATCACTACGATATCAACTGTATATTGAACGAAGTCTCTATGTTATTAGGTTGTCCGGAAAGTTCTTAGCGTTTTGGGTGTTTAACTTTAAACGATCATAACTTTCTTAACACTCATCGGATTTAATCCAAATAAGCACCATTCGAATCAGCACACTTTTGCCAATGTGGCAGCAGTCGAGAAATCCCATCAAAAGAAAAAACTGGGTGGTCGAGAATCCACGAAATCTGCGAAGGTCTTTTTTGCCTGGTCCTGTTTGATGAAGTATTTCTCAGCAGGAAAGTTCTGAAATGTCTGAAAAGGTGACAGTCGGTTGGTGAAAGGTCTGGAGAATATGGTGGGTGAGGTAGAACTTCAACCCCCAATTCGTTCAATTTATGGATAGTGATTTGTGAAACGTGTGGGCGGGCGTTGTCATGCAAAAGAATCGGACCCTTTCTTTTGATAAGTGTTGGCTGCAGCTGACAATATTTTCGGTACATTTGGTCGGTTTGTTCACAGTAGGGTTCTGCTGTGATGGTTTGGCCTGGTGATGAAAAGTTATAGTGGATTACAACAGCCGATGACCACCAAACCTGACCAGAATTTTTTTTTCGCGAGGGTTCGGCTTTGAAAATTACCTCGGTGGTTCCTCCAAATCCAACCACTGTCCGGAACGTCTCCTGTTATCATACATGATCCATTTTTCATCACAGGTGACAAATCCGTTCAAAAACGGGTCAATTCTTTTGCGCAAAAGCAGTGAAGAAGGAACCTCGAGAGTGCCGATTCCTGCGTCCTCGATTGTGGGCACCCAATGCGAGTTTTTCACCCTTCCGAATGCGTTCCTATGACCATTCTTGCAGACAGTGGGTTTGCCAAGGCCTAGCTCTTCTGCTATCTCTCGAACTGTTTGGGATGGGTCAGCCTCCGAAATCCCCCTAAAATCCTCGTCAGATATTGCTTTAGGTCGACCGCTATGAGGCTCACCTTCAAGGCTGAAATTTCCAGAACGAAATTTGTTGAGCCATTGCGGCACAGTGCTTTCTCTAGCACTATTGGGCTCCACACCTGGTTAATTTGTTGAGCTGTTTCGATTGCGGATTGCCCCAATTTATAGTCGAAGAAAAAAATCGTCCGAAGTGCTCTTTTCACATGCTTGAAAAAATCTTGAAAAAAGGGGTTTATCAAGCAATGGTGAAACGGCAATTATACCATCAGATAGCGCAAGAAATTCTCTACAGGATGTGCTACTGAGAAGCAAGGCAGAATGAGTTTTTAATCAGCAGTGAATGTACAAAGATTAGGTGCACAAAACGCTAAGAACTTTCCGGACAACCTAATATTGTTCTGCAGGTCAAGCTAACGAATAATCGGCGCGAAGAGTTTACCTAACGAAATGTGTTTCAGAGAGCTAATGGAATGTGAAGTGCTTGATGGTCCCACAGAATTAGCCCTTCAGAATGACTGCCGAGACCCCTAATGTCTAGGTCTCATGAGCATGACGCATGGTGATTGCAATGTCTTATATGTGCCTTGTTATCTATTCGTGAATTGTTACTGGTTTTTACTGCAAGACGTATTGTCTGATGGAAAGATGTTTGTTTTGCAATACAGTTGAATATTTCAATTTTCCCATGCAGCGTCGGTCCTGTCTATTTTTTCCCGGATCCTCCGATCCCGTTATTTGCCGCGCGCGGTTGTCGCGCTGAACGCGGCGTGTACCTCCACGGCCTTCGGTCTAACCACTTACTGGCGTAAAATTTCTATTCTGCGCTATCACGTCTGCATGGCATTGTACGGCCACTGTTACTTGAGCCCATCACTAACCTTTTAGATAAATGGCTCATCCTTCTCGAGTTCGCCTTTCTGACGAGAAAGCTCATCACGGCAAGTGCGTAATTATTCTACGCCCCTTTCCTTGCACTGGCAGGTGCACTTCTCTATTTCTCTGCGCTTAGGCCTTTCGCACCAGGACCTTTCAAAAATTTCACCTAACCATGCGACACCCTGGCGATGGAGGAGAGATTTGGTCGTAAGCCCTCGGCACCACCCCCCGCGTCACTCACCCTTCCCAAGTAGCCCAAACTTTGCTGTTTGCTGTACTGTCAAAAGCGGTTCCTGAATGTGGACCGTAGGAAGGTCCGCTGCCGCGCGCGGCATGTTGCCTAGGAGCTAGAGGCTAAACTGAAACGATTACACTTCAGCGACTAATATTATATTAGAGAATATGTCTAAATGTAGTCATCGAAGCTTTTTTGGTTTATTAGGGAGAGTTTTTAAATTCCAAAAAGTCTATTGCAAAAAAAAGCTCGATATCGAAGGTCACAAAAAATTTCCAAAATATATTATTTCGGATATTTCGGTGCGTAGCACCTTCTTCAGGCCTGAAATTATTTAACTTGTTCTCATGGTTACTTGAATACTATGCCTTACTGTAGATATACAACTCACACACGTTAGGTTTTCAGACTGGCCCTCCCCAACCGCCTCTCTCTAAATGTAGTATAAACCTTGACGGATCCAGCTAGATTCCGCTAGGTTCGGAGGATTGGGTTCCGATGGTTAGCGTTAGTCAAGTCGCACTTTTTCGATTCAGTGGGGATTGTAAAGTAGTAGAGGTGAGTTCAAGAAGACCAGTGGACTATAGCAGGTACGCATTCAGTTGGAGCAATACAATATTTACGGTCAGCCTCGCAGCGGAGAAGGATCCTGAAGTCTTCCTTCACAGAACCTCGAGGGATTTTTCACGGGATTTATTAATCACCAGAAAAGGGGAGCAACGTCATTGTTTTCAGGAGGCAAATTCTTTGATTGCGTTCGTGCTCTTTGTTAGGACAAAAGATGAAGCCTTCGCCGCTGATCAGTCCCTCCTTTGGGTTGAAGCAGACCTCCTACTTCCATAGAAAATCGAAATGGCTCATTCGATGCAATACCGCCTACGCAATGTTTTGCGAGGGCCTGCGGTCGTACAGGTCTGTGTTCTCATCCTCCAATTCGAATCTGACACCAGTTTATGGTTCCTGGAAGGTGCAAGGTCTGGTTGGCCTGGGTACCGCCCCCGGACTAACGAGGGCTTGGTGGGCCGGGTGGGAGCCGATCTTCGGTTTGATCCCCGGACCGCGTGCGTGATAAGCATGCCACTTCCCGGTACACCATTTCCGCTCTCTGCTCCCTCGCACTCGCACTTTGACCATAAAATAAAGGCCGCAAAAAAACATGAAAACAGCGTTTTCTCCAGAAGAGCTTGGCAAACACTCGAGGGCGTGCTGTAAAGTACGGCAATAGATAGGTGCAATGGCAAGATTCGAAAAAGTGGCTGTTCTGGTCGATTCACGACTTTTGTTTTGATATCTGTACGCGACTCGGGAAAAATTCTATCAACATTATTTACGAGTTAGCCTCCCCAACGAAAAGTACGACTCCCTTCTCTCAGCCGTGGGTACTGGACCCTAGGTACTTCCCCCAACCATCGTGTAGCCCTGACGTTTTCCCGTCCGGCTATCACCTTGCAGCCGATCACTTGGAAGGATAACACTTTGTTGGTGATAACAAACCCAAAGTGGGCATTAATTTTCCCCGATATTAAGTCCTAAAAGAGCAAATCAACAAATCCCTTGGGTTCCGGCAGCATGTTGGGAATACCGATGACGGGTAGTAAGAATTATAATAAGTGGAACTCAGCACAACGAAATCAACAGTTCAAAAGTGAAATATTCAAAAATGTCCAGGGAAATATTGGACAAAAGAATAGTTGAAGTAAAATGGAAGCAAATAATTATTGCTTGGAAATATTGGACTTGAAATACTCACGCAGTTCCTAGATATGTCCGAGTGTACATGTAGTTTTTAAGGCTTCTCGGTTGACTGGCGATATCGTAGTTCGTTTCACTGGCTAAATAGGCATAGCCAGAGTACCTAAATAATCACATTGTTACAACCAGCATTTATTTCCGTTGTATGGATTGCTTTCATTTTTTACTGCCCTTTTTAATTTTCCCCTTTACCATTTTCCAAACAAAAACTGACGCATTCTGTGATGTATGTGTGT